AAAGATGAGGAAAACAAAACGTCTCCTCCTCTTCCTCCACCATCATCACATGTTCTCAGAGGAGTAGCGGTTAGGAGAGATTACGGCGGAGGAGCAGATGAGCAGGAGGTCAAAGGTCAAAGTTAGTCAGGGGTAGGTGAGGATGACAATTGGAGCAGGGGAGAGAGAGAGAGAGAGCAGCAGCAGATGAAACTCAGCAGTTTGCCCTCTGACCCCAACGAGAGAAGACAGGAAGTGAGCACCGCCACCCAGAGAGAGCAAGAGCGAGAGAGAGAGCGAGAGCGAGTCACTTCACCAGCACTGACTTTGGCAGAAACGCCTCCAATTCATCACCTCCACCTGTCCTCGGCAAAACTGAAGACGACGAAGAGCTGCTGCCGGGCGCTTTGGGGAGGCTGTACATGTAGACGGCGCCAATGACGAGCCCCGCCCCCACCGTGAAGAGCAGGTCCACATGGAAACTGAACAGGTAGATGGACATCACCGTGGAGACGATGATGGAGAAGGACGTGGCGAAGCCCTTGAGGATGTTGTCGGCGTACTTCACCACCACGGCCACCAGCAGGCCGCCGAACGCCTGGTTGAAAATGACGCACCACACCATCCCGGTGTAGCCGAACAAGAAGCCACGATCGGCAACAGCAGGGCCGTCGTTCCACCACAGTCCCAGCATGCCGAGCGCCATGCCGAAGATCCCCAGCTGGACGTTCCTCACCCAGACGGAGGCGGAGCTCCCCTTCAGGATCTTCTCGAAGTAAACACCAGCGAATCCCGACGACAGGCAGCTGATCACGACGGCGATGAGACCCACCATGTAGTTCTGATTGGAGCTGTCCGACGCCTCCTTGTTTCCCTCCTGCTGCACCTGCACAGGAAAACAGTCACCGGTCGATCAGTCATGATTTCATGAGCTTGTAAACACGGGTTCACGAGCGTTGACAACATGGCGAGCGACACATCCTGGTGTAGCTTGAGTGACAGGCGCTGGGTTCGCCCGACGGCCTCTGCAGGTAAACACACTGAGGCTGAATTTCTCCGTATGAGCGTAGTTGTGTACAGAATCCTGAGCGTACACACCCCCGGTCTATTTGAATATTTGACTTTTGCTGAACTGTCAGTTTACTTTTTTGAGCGCACACACTTTGTAATACACACTCTGTCCTAACATCTGTCCCTCCGCCCCGTCCTCACATTAGAAACTCACGTCAAACATGGCCGCAGGACTCACACCTCAGTGAACCACGTCATCCACACACTGAACATGGTTTTATTGGTTAAGAGCTGCAACTAACGATTATTCTGACAATCGATTCATCTCTCAATTATTTTTTTTTACAATTAATCGATTATTAATTGATAAAAAGACAAAAGCTACATTTGATCCTTTCCAGCAGTTTATGATGATAATTCCTGTTTCAGATCAATAATTCTGATTCGACAAAATGCAACTTTGAGATAAGTTTAATAAATTACGTTTGAACTCATCAGTGTGATGTTGTTTTGGTTTACTCCAGCGACGTCGTCACGAGAGCTACACGAGGCCCAGGATTGGCTGCCTTACTGGCCCCGCCTCAGTGTGTGTCGTGCTTTATAACAGACCCGACTAATCGATTACTAAATGTTGTCAGCTATTTTTATAATCGATTCAATGGAGGCAGGTTAATGCTAATGTACAGTAACTGGGGGGGGGGGGGTGCATCTGTAACCACGGTAACCTTCAAAATGCTCAGAAAACAAGAGACATTGACTAAAAGTAAAAAAAAATAATAAAAATTAGATGTTAAAATTATCACTTGAGACAGGTGACAGGTGAGGGGACAGGTGAGGGGACGGATAAGGGGACAGGAAACAGGTGAGGACAGGAGACAGGTGAGGAGACAGGAAGTACCTGTACGATGGCTACTCCAGCGAACAGCAGTAGCAGAGAAATCCACTGGACTCTGGACAGAGACTTTCTGAGCATCAACACACTGAACAGAGCCGTGGTGAGGATCTTCAGCTGATACGTCACCTGAGGGACAGGGACACGTTATTACAGACGATATATTATCCACTCATCCAACATGTAGATTCATCCGCAGCTGGAAATAGTCCCACGGTTTCCTCCTGTGTTTGATAAAAGCTACAGCGGCAAAAAAAGTTGAAAAATAAAACTAGGTATGTGTGATTTACGTCCAATGGGCTCAAAGCTACAGACAGGAAGTGACAGAGCAGCGGGTGAAGAAGTAAGACGTGTAGAGTTTGTCCTGTGGGCGTGGCCCAGGTCAGACCTGGAAGGAGGCGGCGGGCAGGTTGGAGATGGCGACATACTGCAGGTTGTTCTGCAGCGTGTAGATGAGCGAAGGGACGGACAGTTTCAGAGTGTCCTTGTACTGAAACACGATGGAGTCGAGCAGGAACAGCACCGTCTCCTTCACGTTACCTGAAGACAGAGAGAGAGAGAGAGAGAGACAGAGAGAGACAGAGAGAGAGAGACAGAGAGAGAGAGAGAGATGTAATGTCGTTCTATCACAGGCCTCTGGACGCTTCTTTTTGTACAACAGGAGGAAGTGGAGACATGTCTTCCATCTTTATATACAGTCACTGATCGTCTTTATATGGAGTCTATACTCTGAACAACAGAGCTGTGAATTGTGGGTATTGATTGTTTCCAAAATTGATTAATCTTCAAATTATTTTCTTTGTTTATAAAAAAATGTTTGAGTCAATAAAACGTCAGAAAACAAAACAGCTGCTTTATTCACACAAAGATACGAGACGTGAAAATGATTCACCGAGGTCAGACTTCCTGTTTCATGTGACAAACGTCACCAGTGAAGAATAAAACTAAAAGTCTGACAACAAACAGAAATGCATGCTGGGACGTGCAGTTCACTCCGTGTGTCTGATGAACTTACATTTCTTCTGCAGCAGGATGATGAGCAGACACGTCAGGACCTTCAGGATCTCCGCCATGACCACGGCAGACGTCGTGAAGAACCTGTCGCCCGGCAGCGTGCGGACATATCGGATGCTGAGGATGAGCGAAGCATTCTGGAACACGAGCACCACCAGGCTGACGTACTTCAGCCTTTTGTTGACTGCACGAAACAAACACACGCATCAGACGTCCGATGAGAAACCAGCACGCCGACACGCTGTCGTTTAGTTTCACGTCACGTTAACTTCTTCTCAGTAATTAATCACATTCATGAAACTGAAGCGTGTTTTATGAGCGTGGGTGTGAAAAGATGATGTCCACAGTTTCTGATGGGGGACGAAGAATTAACAGGAAACGAACCAACAACCCCAGATGTTGACGAGAGCGCGAGGGCTCGTTCAGCTTTCATTTAGAAATGTGGTTTTTCTCCATCACTGCGACTCGTCCTCACAAACTGGGACTTTTTTTTTTTTTGCCTTAACGTGAATAAAAGTTTGTCTCTTTCTCTTCAAACTGACTCCACCTCTCTTTTCCTGACGGTCGTGTAACAACACACACCTGGAGCAGGCAGGGGTTCAACTGCCTTGCTCAAGGGCGTTTCAGCCATGGAGCGTTCACTGTCAGTCCAGGGATTCAAGATTAACAGGATTCATGTCGAACCTCTGAACTGACCTGCGAGGAAACTGAAACCTGAACACTCGGAGCCAGGAGGGAGTTACCTGTTGACTTTGACGTGTGTGTGTGTGTGTCAATGCCACCAGCTCTATAACAATAGATGAACCACACCTGAAAACAAACATACTTATGACTCATTTACACACACACACACAAACACTTGCTCTGTCTTGAACACACAATCATACACAAAGAAACACACACTAACTCTTTGTATCTCTCACACACACACACACAC